CGTAGGGCTAGAGGGGAGGAGCAAGAGGAGGGTACTGGGGCTACTTCCTTGTTGCCGGGTAGATTTGCAGCAAGCCCGGGCATGTCCGTAAAAGGCACTCAAGAGTTCAAGGGGGGGGGGGCAAGGCCCCCCACAAGCATGGACCTAAGAAACTAGATCAAACAAAAATTTTTTTTTCATGAAAAGAATTTTCATTACCTACCTTATTGCTACCCTTTTTTTATAGGAATGGTTCATAGATCTTTATGGGTGGATTAGACTATTTGAAATATGTATATCATTGGTACTTATAAAAGTTCGAAAGTATAAAAGAGGTTGTATTATTGAGAGTGGGAGCAACCTATTACCCCCCCCTTTAAGGCCAAATAGTATTTTTATAAGTTTGGTGAGTTTCAAAAACTTTGTTCCATTGATATAGCCTAATGAAATATTGAACACAAGTATATCTTCTTTAATAGTTATGAAGTTGGGCATGAGATTTTATATTTAAGTATATCTTAATAAGGAACAGGTTCTGTGTCCATGAAGCCCTGGACAGAGCTCTACCATCATCCTTGGCATTTTGTATATCTGATTGTTTTGTGATGATTATACCTCAGAAAAACCTACAAGTAGAAACTGCCATTTTCCTAATTAATTAAAAATTGCTTAGAAGGTTTCATAGTTGCTTAGGAAGAAAGAAAACCCTATAGAGAAAAAAATTCAAACAGCTTTTAAGTGATATTATGTTATTTTATAAAAGAACTATGGAAAATAAAATATTCCACCACAATTTAGGTGTGCTACAGAAAACTAGGGCAACACTTTTAGAAATATCAAGTGTTATTCACTGCTTTATAATTAATTACATAATTATCCACCAGAACACGAAGATCCCAGGGTACCTTAGTGGAAACACTACATTTCCAAATAAAATAATAATAATTATCACCTACTATATTCAAAGTATTTTATTAGCTATAATTTTTTAACTTCCTACATCTCTGTGTGTAAATAAACATCATTAAGAATATTAATCTTTTCTGTAGTTCAAAAATAAGAAAACTAAGGCAGATAAATTGATTTGAATTATAAATTAGGCATTATGGTTTTGAATCTTTTAAAGAGGCAGATATTCAATAGAAATAATAGAAGTTAATAGAGTACAAAAATAGCTCTTGCAGCTATTTATAAATTACCAGGTAGTAATTAACTGCAAGTATCACCTTTTCTTTCAAACACGTGATCAAATCAGTTTAAATTTTATAAACAATGTCATGGGAGCCTTGAGGCTATTGGAAATACCTAAGATGTGACAGAATTTACTTTAGAGCTACTATCCTAGGTACCTTGTAGATACATGAAGTTGTATGCCATTAAAACCACTGGATTGGGAGATTGAAGTGGTATGATAAATTGAATATCACAGAGTTTGATTAGAGCATAAGCCAAGGTTTACAAACCACGTCTTGCTAACATAGCAAGGCCTTTTTCAGTGAAATAGCATTTTGTTAAGGTGGCCATGAAATATGTTTCTAGAAGCTATGGGCTTCCAGGACACTTGATGTTCCTTTGTAGGACAATGATCACTAAGGTGAGATCTACCACAGGATGAGACCAATGCAGACTAATACCTATCTTTGAAACACTGTAGCAAAAACTCAAGGTGAAACATGACCAATGAGACATGTCATACAGAATACAAAGTAAAGGGAGGTATTCTGATGTAGTATTCCAGAACTGCAGACTCATTAGATAGGGAAAAAAAGGTGTGATTAATGTTCATTTAGAGGAGAATCTGAGCCAGTAAGAAGCCAGTCAACTGTACTTCATTTGTGGAGATAAGTAAGACAAATAGTGACCTTGTAATGATCCGAAACAGCTCCACTACATGAGCATTTGAGAAAAGAATGAGCACATTCTAGCCTGACTCTGCCTTGGTGCCCTGAAATGTTTGGCAGTGGAGAGAGAAAAATGCTTTGAGGTTTCGTCATAGAAGTGCTGGTGAACAGACAGCTACAGGGCAGACATTTAGGTTAGCTTTGTATTTTTTTTCTGCTGTTGAATTTATTTTAATGGTAATATTCTCTTTGTCTGATGTTTCCCATTGCCTAAGATAATTGATGCACAATAGATAAGCGCTATCTGAACTCATTTAGGTAGTAGAGTTTAATGACAAGGTATAAAATACGTGTTCTGATTATAGTTTACTCTCAAAATTGGGATCATTCACCACTGGATGATAGATAGACAATTGGAAAAAAAAATTCCACACTATTCACATACCCCTCTAGTTAAAGGCTAGAGATTTGTTGAGACCATAGAAACCACTCACTTATTATCCACCTATTCGTGAAATATTGAAACCTGAGCTTCTCTTTGAATTAAACTTTTACTCAACTGGCAGGAATCTGTTTTTGACATTACAATGCTGCAGGGATTACTGATTCTTTCACCTAAGACTCAAAAGGATAAAATAATATACCCTAAAACATTCAAACTTCAAGGGCCGGGGATTTAGCACAGTGGTTTCACCACCTGCTGCGCAAGCACAAGGACCTTAGTTCAATCGCTGGTGCCAAAAAAAAAAAAAAAAATTCAAACTTCATACTAGATATATTGACAAACTATCACATTTAAATCTAAAATTATCATCAGTGCAATCATGGATTAGAAAAATTTGTAAATTTATACACAAATAAAAATAAATACACTCAGATGTTAAATCTAAGATCAAACTTATCAGTTAATTCATCTAGATTTTAGACTGGCAAAAATGCACTCAAATATGAATGAGTGAATGTTCTGTTTCTGCATTTTTAAGGATTGAGAGAAGGCAGAGGATCTTATATAGTGTGATAGAGAGGGACCCTTTGTAACTTTATTTAATGTTCATTATATTTTCTACAAAAAGTCTTTAAGAGTATAATAAAATATATATATGTGTTTTAAATATTTATATATAATGTATATTTTATACATTTATATGATAAATATATGCATGTATTTTTATATATATAATTTCTAAGAAAAATTCAGGCCCAACATATTTGGCTATTTAAATTTACTTTTCCAGGGCCGGGAATTTAGCTCAGTTGTTTTGCTGCTTGCTGCACAAGCGCAAGGACCCGAGTTCAGTCCCCGGTACCAAAAAAAAAAAATTTACTTTTCCACAGGGTTAAGAAAACAAATGTTTTTCCTTTGCTCCTCCAATATCCTCCAGATTTTTTTTACAGAGATCGTGCTATTCTCCTCTTCTGCCTTTCCTAACTATTGTAATTTAGGTACCCTCCTTTTCCAGCCACATGGTGAAAGGGTTCTTGCTTTATTTGTTTTCCTCCCAACTATTTTCCCTCTCTGAATACATTTCACAGACGACCATCTTCCAAAATAACAACATCAATTAATTTTTAACTTAAAAAAAATCGCATTTCGCCCTGAGTCTGCCCTCTGCATTGATGTGCAGTGTGTGGAAGAGGCTGCTTGGGGACTGATAAGCCCCATTTGTGAAGCCTGTTCGTTTGGAGACAAGCCATTGATGCACTCACAGACAGTACTTTTTCCTGAGCCAGCCCAGTGCTAGGTGAGTTAACAAGTTGACCCCCACATCTCACAGTGCTCAGAGAAACTTAGCCACAGACAGCCAGTGAGGGAATGTCAGGAAGCAGCTTTCTTTCTGTACCTGACTGGAAGTTGTTCTTTATGATTCATTTTTGTGTTTGAATACAAAACAGTTTGACCCATAAAGTTGTCTCTCAGGTAACTATTATGGATTCTCACCATACTCTTCTCTCCTTTTGCAGAGTCTGATGATCTCCAGGTGGACCCTCCACTCAGCCATCAAAGTATTCTTGCTCCCCAGGATGCTTGTAACTCAATGGTAGATGCAAGTGGAGTTGAGAACGTCACCCAGTATCCCCAGGAGCTTCCACAGATGATGGCTGCAGGTAAACATAACATTTTAAGTTTTTACTGGAGAAGCTCAATAAGCTATGAGAAACGGCATTGAACCAGGAGTCAGAGCCCTAAAAAAAAAAATCAGGTCATGAAACTTGTGAAAATCAAGGAGCATTAAGTCAAATTAGGAAATTCTGCTATTTTAGCTGTGTGTTATTATTTTTAAGTATTGATTGATTTATTGTCAGTGCTTATAAGAAGTACTTTGGAAAGTCACTCTAGATGGATACCTGCATTTTCCTTGTTCTAATTAAGGATTACATTAAAGAAGGATTATATTACAAAGAAACATTTAAAAATTTCAATCAGGGCCAGTACTACTCCTTGACAACTGTTTTCTTATTGGATAGTTAGAAGGCATGCCTGGTCCAGAATTATACTTAGAAACAGATACATTTATTTATCCTTAGTCTACTAAGCCAGTTACTTGCTTTACTGGGACAGTATTGCTGCTTTGCCTCTCGACCTTGTTGCTTAACCAGTGTTGTTTCCTTGGAAGAAGAAAGTAATTCTTCAACTATTTTTCTAGGGGTACTTCCTTAATGGCATGCTGTGTACAATGCAAACTACATGTCATTAAGTTTCCTCCCAGAAAATACTTGAAACACTTTGTTATGTCTTTAGAAAAATGTTGCTGTAGGTTATAGTGATTTTTGTGTGTGAGGTTTGGAAATGTGCTTAAAGAAGCCTTATATTGCTAGAAGCATGATTTTCTTCAAAGGGAAGCCCTTGACTGTGGACATAATGTTTATATGTTTTTCTTGCAGCAGCTGATGGTTTGGGGAGTATAGCAATAGACACAACCCAGCTCAACATGTCCGTGACAGATTCCACAGCCTGGGCCACCGCCATGAACAACTTGGGCATGGTTCCTGTGGGGTTGCCTGGACAGCAGCTTGTGTCCGGTAAGCTTTTTCCTGGTTTTGAAGATGTTTGCAGTAGTGCCAACTGGTGTGGGCAACAGGTGCTGGTAATCTCCCTGCACTTGGGGTGTTAAACATGCCCTTGGATTTGTGACTGGGACATGTTTGGCAGGTTTTGCTGGGGATTCTTTTCCTCATCACCTTGCTGCCCGATCATGATTCTCAGAAGCAGCTCTCTTGCTGCTGTTGCTAGACACAGTATCTCTCCTTAGTGCAGCACTGATTAGCAAATAGAATGGCTAATGGTTGCATTGCAGTTTGCCAGACTTGTTCACATAATTTATTCCATTTGATTGTACTTTTCCCTTTAAGACAGGCAAGATGCATACTTGTGCTATTTCTCCTGTTAAGGTTTCCATTTTACAGAAAAGGAAACAGAAGACCAGAGCCTCGGTGACTTCTAGAATGGAGTGACAGATCTAGAAACTCAGCTCATTTGACATAATTTCTACATTTCTGTGTACCACACTTGGAAATAGTAGTACAACACACTCAATAGATAACATGCTTAGAAATATCACCAAGTCAATGGTCATTCAAACATGTTTACAGTTTAATTTAACTTGTGTTATTGAAGATTTTGCATGTGCTTTATAAAAAGTGCTTTTAGAATAAATGTACACAAATATAAGTGTCCTTGAGGAGCATGTCTCCCTAAATTAAGTGTTTAAAAAAATAGCACCAGAAAATAAAAATAAAAAAATAGTTGAATCATTGTTAAATAATGGTACAGACTAGTAATGTGGTAGTTTTCAGATCAGTCACTAGGCCTCTAAAGGAAAATGTTTTCCAAAAGGTAAGGCTTGATCTCTATCTGGAGAGAGAAATAGGATTTACATGTTCACTCCTCACTCATTCACTCAAATCAACAAACATTGAGGCACTTCTGTGGTGCAAGGGCTCTGGCAGTAACCAAACCCTGGTCCCTGCCCTCTCAGGGACATGCAGTGGAAAGGTGACAGTCTTTGTTGTAATAGCAGAACAGTTCACTTTTAGCCATCAGTTTAGGTGAGGCTGGATGGTGTGCACTAAGTAGGAATCAGCTGCTTCTGTGATGTTATAAGTTTTGCCCACAAATCTGTGTATTTTGTGCTGAGTTGACCAAGCATTTGGTTTCTTTTCCCTTCCCTTCCCTACCCTTTCCTTCTTCCCTTTCTTCTTTCCCTTTATCAATAATTGCCATAGGTAAAAAATTCTAAGTTATATTAAATTATATGTATGTGTACATATAAACGTATATGTGTATATGAATATATGTGGATGCATATACATACATACACATATAAATATGTATGATTTCTTTTTTAATATACAGAAGAACCTAAGAAAACATAGGAAAAAGCAGGATAAAAAGGAAAGATGAAGGTTAAGTTATAAAGCATCATACATAGGATATTTAATAAAATTCTTCAAAATGTTATGAAACCCATACAGTTTTAGATTAATGTACTGGGAGATGCATACACATACATGACATTTTTTGTGAGTTAGATATGTGCTTATCCGGGCCCTTTTCTCAAAATTTTATCTATTTACTTTTGTTTGTTTTTGTAGTACTAGGGATTAAACCTGGAATTTTGCAAATGCTAGTAAGCGTTCTACCACTAAGCTACACTCCTGGTCCCTCAAAAGCTGATCTAGACAATTGCTTCTTTCTGATAACTCAAGAGTAAACATTTTTATTTTCCCATTCAAATTTTCTCAGCTGCCTAATTAAAACTATAATTTGTCCAGCAAAAATGACTCTACTCTTGTCTCATTTCCTACTTCTCTCAGAAGATGTTTTGCAACTTCTAGAGTAAGCCCAAACCTCAATAATTCATTATTTCTTATGATTTTGAGTCTTCTGACATTTTAACCATGACTAATTTATGATTTTCCTAGTAACTTACCATGAAAAGAATTACAGCCCTACTTGTTATAGAAGATTTACCATATCTGCCCTGAATTACATTCTCTAGCTCTTGTGTTAGACAAACTCCTTAAGCTGATTTGGGGCCACTCAGAATCTTTCTGGACCTCCCTTGCTCAGTTCCACAGCCTGACAGTATCACTCCAATTGGCTTTGTTCTAAGAGCCAACTGTGTTTGTTAGCCCGACCTCAGATACAGTTCTGTCCTGTTGGGTTAGTGTGCATGTAATTTTTTCCAGTCTTTTTTTTCTATGCATATGTTTCATCCTTTCTGAATATAAAATTTTCTATCATGCAGTTTTGTTAACATTTAAGCTACTTCTCCACTTTATACTTTATGTTAAAAAATTTAAATAATCTATCAAATAAATAATCCCCAGGTTACTTAAGAATTCTAAATGTTTCCATTTATGTTGTTCTTACTTTTTCACTTTTATTAGCCAAGATTTTTAGAGAATTTAATATCTTTCCACATGCAAAATAATATTACTTTCTCTATGACACGGTGATCATATCTATTTTATGAAACGTCTGTTAGACTTAAATGTGATAACTTACAAAATAACTTGTACCTGTATATAGTAAGCATAAAGTAAATACAAGCCCCTTCTTCCTTTTTTTGTCTTTTTTTTTTAATAAATGATATTACAGTGAACATTTTTAAGCATAGGACTTTTCAGCAGTTAAAATGATTTCCCTTGGAGATTCCTATATGTAGAACTAGAAGGTCAGAAGAAGTGAAAATGTAAGTGTTTTTTGGTATATGTGAGGCTATTAATTTCCCAATATACATACATATTTAATATAATTTTATATATAATTTAGGCCAGGGATTTAGCTCAGTGGTTTCGCTGCCTGCTGTGCAAGGGCAAGGACCTGAGTTCGATCCCTGGTACAAAAAAAAAAATTAATAATAATAATAATTTAATATAATTTACTAGTTTGATATGCAAAGTCTACATCCAATTTTTTTATCTTGAATTCTTTTAAGATCCAAATCATAAAAAAACTGAAATATTCCCAAAAACCATATGCAAAGGGCTTTGTTATCAGCCTGTGACATTATTGGAAGGTGGTGGAGCCTTTAAGAGATGGAGCCGCTTGAGAGGAAGTTAGATCACTGGGGTTGAGTCCTTGATGTTGACACCTTGGCCCTTTCTCTGTGCATTCCATCTGCCATGAGGTCAGCACCTTTGCTCTGTCACACACTACCACCTTAAGCCAAATAAACCTTTCCCCTTTTAAGTTGATTTTCTCAGATATTTTGTCACACCAACATAAAGCTATCACATCTTGTTTACTCCTTTCTCCCCCTTCATTTTCTACTTGTATTTCTTCTTTGTAAATAGATTATTCTCATAGTCTGTCTGTTGGAAATTTTAAAACTTGATTTATGTTTGGTTGTTACTCATTCTAATCCTTTAACCTTTTTTTTAATCCTGTAATGTCTTATTTCCTAAAAATATCTGTCTCACCTGTTTTTTGTCTCTTAATGTTGGTTCTTATTTAAATAATGTTTGTTTTAATTTCCTTTATGAGTTCTTCGTCCCAATGGTAAATACAGTGTGATGTTGGTAGCATAGCTGCCTTCCAATTGTAAATATAAAATAAGTGCCTACTCTAGAGGACCTATGGATTTCTGCTCCTACTGACTTTTCTGTCTGTTATCAGAAATTAAATTGTTGTGTCTATTTTTGCCTATTTCTAAAGTATCTGTTCTGTACTGCTGATCTGTTTTTGTACTAGCACCACATAGTTTCAGTTCCTACAGTTCTATAAATTTGTAGGAGGCACCTTCTGTTCTTGTAACCTTACCTGATGTGTGGTATTATTTGTCTCTTTTCTGATTAGCCATCAGCTATGGAAAGGAGCTTTTGCTCAGTGTTCATGCTGGCCTGCTCTGGAGTTCTTTAGTGTAGCTCTTGAGTATTAGAGTCAGTCTTTAATGTTTCAAAAGGGACTTAAAGATTATTTACTGTAACATTCCTTCCAAGAAATCCTCTCTAAAATATCTCTGACAGGATTATGGAGAGGCTGGATTTTATGAGCACTTGGCTTTCTCCCAAAGTTTCTGATATTTCTAAATGACCAAGCACTCTTCCCATATTTGTTAAAATTAAACTGACACAAATCCTATTCCTCACTGCTTCTTCAGTTTATTGAGAGATTCAAATTAACAGCAAAACAAGACATAAATTTTTCATGTCCTCTGATTCTATCAGAAGGATTTTCCAGGAAATCATATCACTTGTTACCATCATGTCCTACCCTTCTGATATGCTCTTGTATGTTCCCACAGATACATCTCTTCCATTTTCAGTCCCTTTTACTGGCTTGATTCCATTCCCACTTTGAGGAATTTCCATTGCCCTTCCTGCTGTGAAGCACTACTTGACATCATTACATTGCACTTGCTTCCTTTGTCCAATATATATCAGTATACTGTTTGTTATATACTCCAGCCCTTCTCCCATACTCCAGAGACTAGGGTTCTTTATGAAATAGTGTTTACTTCTACCTATTACTGTTTCATGTTTGTTTTATCCCCATAATTTTAGTTTTATAATTTTTGTTGTTATTGATTTGTTTTGTTATAAATATTTTCCTTGTTGTTATAGATACAGATTTTCTAAACTAATCAGTTGGAACATTAGTGCCCTACTGTTGTTAAGTAGGGTAGATGTCACATGTAGGTGGCCTAACAACCATGGAAAACTAAGTTAAATTCATATTGGGGATATAGCTCTGTAGTAGAGCATTTGCTAGAAGGTGCCATGACCTGGATTCAATCTCCAGAACTGTAAACAAAAGAACAAATGAATGATTGAATAAAACATAGGTAAATTACTTTCTTCGTGGGTTTTCTCACAATCTTTACTATGTTAATAGGTGATGTGCAGTTTTCTAAGAATGTGAGCTAGTGTTTAGGATTCCTCACATTTAATTTAGTCTTTGAAAAGTACCTACTAGCATCCCATGAAGCCCTGAAACATAACCATTTATACCAGATTTTCGCTGTCAGCTGAGAAGATCCTTCACCACCAATGATCCTTCTTCATGGTATGTGATG